CTATATAAAAATTGAGACCAAATAGCTCTTCATAAGACAATTTCAACCCCAATTTAAAGAGTCTGAGAATTATTTTAGCACTATTATAAATTTTAATACTAAGGGTCTGTTTGGGGGGAGCTTGTGCGTGAATAAGGGTCCGTTCGGGGCAGCTTGTGTGTTTTAGGATAAGCTGCTTATCCTGAAACGCGGCCCGCGGGCCCGCCGCGGGAGTTACAGAAGTCGACCTGCGGCCAACGCAGTTTTAGATAAGCTAGCGAAACGCGCGAACCAAACGGTACGGACTGGTGAAACGCGCTAACCAAACGGTACGGCGGCATGTTGAAAACGCCTCCCGCACTTATAAGCTGCCCCAAACGGACCCTAAAATCACTCCATATAAATAGTCGGAGACTATTTTAACACTTTACTCTAATAAAACGTGATTGAAACAAGCGACAAAACTATAATATTTCTCATGGCACTCTGAATTTGAATTCATCATTCTAGGAGACCTAATCTTCTTTATTTCATTAATTTAATGGATTTAAATAATTCAAATTCCACGAGATTTGTAATCTACGGCTTTGGCTTTCATACACGCTGCTTCCAGTTAAGGTTAAAACGGCTACACGGTTTGACCTTTTTACTTTGAAATAAAGTTGGGGGAATAAGAAGGTATGAGGAGATCAAATAGTTTTAAAAAAACTGTAGAAAATAATTAATCAAAATAAGGGGACATTTACATGCATACCACCCTAATCATATATATTTACATATCTAACCGTTAAATTTTTAACCTTTATACACATGCAAGCCAAAAGTTTAATTTCACATAAAAAAATAAGACCTTAACTCTCCGGTTAAGGAAGTCAGGGTAATAGTCACCAAAGTGAGAGGCACCGCTCACCTAATCATCAATTAGAATGCCACTTTGGAAGGTACAAGAATTATAAAATATATTTGCTCTTAGAGAAGTAATCATTTGTTAGTGTAGTTCTGGTGTGGCCTGAAAAAGTACACGCATGAAGTTTGACGTATTATAAAATTAGAAAAAAAAAATGTGGAATAAATTTAAGGATAATTAAAACCCTAATTTTAATAAATTTATGATTAGGCCGAATGTTTTAACAAAATAATCCTTATGATAATGAAAGTAGTCTGATCTAAATATGAAAAAGTTAGTATCGAGCATTTGAAGCATAACTAAATTTTTTTGAGATAAATCATTTGAAGAATGATGTACAGTCCGGGGGGGGGATATTAACTTAAAATGAATCTGAATGTTTGAATGATAAAAATTCTTAGGATTTATGGTCTCTGTGAACTAAAGAATTTTTTCTTAGCGTACTGGTATAAGATAGAGTTTATTTTATTTAGGATTTATTATCCCTATAAGGGAAAACCCTCATAGTTAATTTCATCTTTAGAGTTGTAAACTCTGGATAAAACACTCGATTAAAATATTGACTTATATTATTCAGGATTTCAAACTTGTGCATTTCGAAGTTAGAATTTCCAAGAGTGATATTTAGATCCAACTTCAGAATTTTTAAAGGATTTGAGCTCAAATGTTGGACTGACAATCTAGTGATCATGTGCACAAGAAGAAGAATTAACCAACACAGGGAGGAAGGTTGACTTCAAAGGTTTAAAATTAACCATTGTTGGAAAAGACTAGTTGAGAGTAAGATAAAATCAAAGGGGATTAAAATGGATTACATAATTTTTGCTTGAGAAGATTGATTGGGAATGTTAAGTTTAGAGGTTTAATTTGAAAAAATATGTTTGAAAGGTTGAGGTTTGAGTAGAAAGATTCCTAAACTAAGTGGGTGGAATTGGGTAGAAATGATTTTTAGATGGAGGTGAAACCCAACATTTGAAAAAAGCATATATTTTATAAGGAGACTGAATCGGTGGACTGACCTAATTTTTGGGTATAATGCCCTCAGTCAAGATTCTTATGGCTTGTCATCATCCCGAGTGAATTGGTACTCTTAAACTATTAACCGATCATTGGAGATCTTCACTTAATGTCATAGTAATTACATATATATAATCTCTTAGCTAAAAGTGTTAGGGGTGCCTTTGTCGATAACTATATGTTACTTCATCTTAAGGCAATTACATACTCTAAGGGGTTACATGCTATTTGTTTTATAGGTCATAACCCTTGCACTAAATAGGGGTACCTAGTAATCTAACCAAGGCTACTAGACCAGACAATTCTAGAGCATGTGTAATCATGTGTTTTGTTTATGAGTGAGCTATCCTATGGTAGTTTTTATTTTTTTTTCTCTCTTTTATTTTTGAAGGAGTTGTCAGCTTGTCTATTTATAATCTTCGTATTATTTCCTCAGTCGAGTAAATCTTCTCTCGGACAAAATTAATGATCTAAAGATAAGAGGAACTAAAAGGAGGGATATATAATGGGCAATAGACAAATGAGGGAAAGAAACGTGTACAAAATTCGTAAAGTGAACTTCGCATGGATAGCCCCAAGGCATACGTTTGAAACGAAATCAAATCCAAGATACCTTGGAGGCATATCCGTGAAGAGGACCTTACGAAAGTAACCCACAACCAGATAATCAAGTGTAAATCCTTATTCTGGAGTCAAGAATAGCTCCAAAAGGAACATATTCCTTTGGTTAATTACATATTGGGAGATACCCAATAAAACTCTCAATAAAAAGGGTTTTGCTTACATACTTAAATGAATCCTGGTTATTTGGGAAACCAATGTATTTAAATCTTCTCAAGGGAAAATCTCGATGCTTTTGGTATTTATATCAGACCATAGAGCAGAGAGCGAATTACTGTAACCACTACGGGTGGAGACACCTATCAATGATTTGTCAAAAGAATCAACATGGCTCAAAAGAGGCGTCAATAGAAAGGAAAAGATCTCTAAAAAGGTAGAGGTAGCCAAGTCAGAATACCACAAATCTATCATTCAAAGCTATGTGGTCCTTAAGCCTACCTGGTTGTGAAGGTAATTGACCCAACACAATCAGTGGCTCCTTATCAACAATCCGTAAATTGTGTCGCCTAAAGAAGTCTCGATAGCCCTAAAGTCAAAGGAAGAAAAATCTAGTTCTTATAACCCTAAACAGGTAGAGCTCAAAGTGATGGAGCTTATGCTCGCAAAGAAAACTAATAGAATTGTCACTAGAAAGAAGGGAAAAGGTGGTCTAGTTACAAAGTTGTAAATGCTCTGCACAAAGAACTTATACCTCATCATACTAGATAGCCTCTAACACCCTGGAATATTTTTATATTTTTGGAAAGAAAATATTCAGACTCAAGTCTCGCTTCTTGCGCCATCTCTTTTACTCTCATCGGAACATTGCCTCTGGGGAGTCTCACATTTTGTCAAATCTTAGGCGGATCTTGTTGCTGCCTTCATGGGGGTAACTGTCGAGACTCGCTAATGGGGTGATGTATGTCGTATTTTTTGCAGATCTTATTATTTTTTGACAGGGAACCACCTCCATAACTTTTTTTTAGGCCAGTCTTCGAGATGGTTTTTGGAGGTTTCCTGAGGTCGAGTGTAAAGAGAGGTTTTATTTGCTCATCCCCGAAGAGAGCCTCAAGTAGAGAAATATCTTGAAATGCTCAGCTCGAAGGAGAGGCTTAAATGTATCTTTATTTGCACATGCTGAAAGAGAGGCTTGGAGGGAGAGATATATTTGGAATGCTCATTTGAAGAGAGATAGTTTGGAGTGCTCGTCCCAGAGGTGAGAGTTGATTGAGAGAGTAAGAGTATTGTTTTGCTCATGATGAGAGAGATTTATCTTCTTTCTTTTTTTTGTTTCTTTTTTAATAGAAAATTAAATAAGGTAAAAAGAGGAGGTGCTTATCTTCCTTTTTTATTTCTCTATATTATATTTTCTACTTCTTGGTATGTGAGAAGGGTTTTCTTCATCTTTCTTCTTGCTTTTTGTTCTTTCTTATTTCTTCTTTTTTACTTTATCTCCTACTTTTTTTCTTTTCGCAACTTGTTGATTTATATATTGTCATAGCTTATCCTTTTGCTTATTTGTATTTTTCCTCTTATTTTCTCCTTTTTCTTCTTCTATAATTCCTCTTTTTATTTCTATATTGGGCTTTCTCCAACTCGAAAGGTTCAACTTCTTGTTGGTGGCACGATTCACGCTCACGATACCTTTTAGGATGTTGAATCCAAATATGTCATTTGACTCGTGCCCAAGGGATAGAACAATCAATCTTAGGGAAGGAGAAAGAGATAGAGAGTAAGAGAGAGAATCGCCTCACTGGCAGTAATGAGGGGAGTTCCCGGGATCTTTGACCCCTATTATTATACACAACATTGGGTTACTAGTGGGAGAAGAATGGGAGCGAGCTCCTTACAAGTTGGCTAGAGAGAGAGAGAGAGAGAGTCCATGCATCTATTTTTATATGCAATTGTCATCTATTTATAAAGAGAAAAAGAGAGGGAAATGAATATTTCACTTATGCCCCTATTTTGAGGGAAGCTATGAGGGGAACCTTCGTCATTTCCTTACTTTGATCCTTATTCCTAGAGACTCATCGACGTCGGATGGCCGACCTAGTTTTTAGATTTTTTTTTTGGATAAAATTAACTAAAATCTCAAAATAATAAATTAGACAATTCTTATTGTTTTTTAGATTGTTGGTTGCTATTGAAGCATTTAGGTATATTAATGATATTTGAATTACCATGAACTTTTTGTATTTTTTTTATTGAGAAACTTGTTTTGACTGTCAAATTATATGATTAAAAAATAGTTGGATATCTTAAAAAGTGTTCAAAAGTTTTCCACCATGTATGAAGTGCTTGATTTAAAATTTTGAATTTAAATTTCAAATAATCATAAAGATATTCTAAAAATTATTTAAAATAAAAAATTCATCTCAGCGTATGTGAATTTTTGTGAGAGCTCAACCGATTTTTTACTCAGTTGCTCCCATTCGGGTAATTCTAATTCAATGATGTGGGTATCACAAGATTGAGTTTGCAGCGCAGGAACCAAAAAAGTGCCAGGGCAGGCTGAGCCAGAGTTCTATAAATTGCAAATCACTAGGCCCAATCTGCAATTTTGTCTATAGACCTCTCTCTCTCTCTCTCTCTCTCTCTCTCTCTCTGAGATCTCGATCTCGATCGGGTTGCTGGCTATAGGATTATTGCAAAGCGTAGCTAGGAGCTTGAAGGTATGCAGGCTTCTACATTTATCTCTCTATAACTTCGTGCTTGGTTTCTAGGGTGGATCTGGGTGATGCGGGATGAAAGAGAGAAAAATCGGTGAATTTGGTGGTTTTTGTTGTTTGCTGGATCAGGAATATAGTAATTTGACAGCTCATTTTGCCTTTTTTGGGCGAACATGTTTTTGTTTTCCTTTTTTTCTTTTCGGTGGATTCCTTGTGAAATGTGCTGTTTCTGTCTGAATATTTGTTTGCGGAGATCATTGCTTATCGTTTTGGTGCTATCATGGTGCCCTTCATGCGATTCTCTTTCTTTTAGGTTTCTTGGTGAGCTCGTCATTTTTCTTACATCGAGACTTTTTTAGATCTGTTTGTAGGAAGAATCGGTATATTAGGATAGGGCTTGTAACGTTTATTTGCTCCGGAACTTTGATAAGATCTATAGTTGAAGCGGCACATATGAGAATTTTTTGGAGCATGACATTTTGAATTTTCTTTCTCTGCAGAGTAATCGTGATCGGCTCTATTCTGTCTGTGATTTTGGCGGAGATTAACTTATCAACACGATGGTTGCTTCAATTGCTGCCTCTGTCTTCTTCCCTACTCCATCCTCTTCTTCTCGGTCTTCTTTGAAGAACTCAAAGACCATTAATGAAGGTTCCGAGTCATTGAATGTACTGGGTATTGCAGCCAAACCTGCATCATCATCCAAAGCCATGCAGGTTAAGGCCGAAGCACAGACTGTTCCTAAGATCAATGGATCAAAGGTTTACTTGAAATCTGAAACCCTGAAACTTGAGGAAGATGCACCTTCTACAGTTCCAAGAACATTTTATAATCAATTACCCGACTGGAGCATGCTACTTGCCGCCATCACAACTATTTTCTTGGCAGCAGAGAAGCAATGGACCCTCCTTGATTGGAAGCCAAGGAGGCCGGACATGCTTGCAGATGCGTTTGGCTTAGGGAAGTTTGTTCAGGATGGTCTTGCTTTCAGACAGAACTTTTCCATTAGATCATATGAGATTGGAGCAGATCGCACAGCTTCTATAGAGACGTTAATGAATCACTTACAGGTGAGATATAAGGATTTGTGTGCTAACTTTGTGTGTTTTCTTAGCTTATGAGCTTAAACTTTTAATTTCTTTTTGCAGGAGACGGCACTTAACCATGTCAGAGTTGCAGGCCTCATGGATGATGGTTTTGGTGCTACACCAGAAATGTCTAAAAGAAATCTTATATGGGTCGTGGCTAAAATGCATGTTCTTGTAGAAAAATATCCTTCATGGTGAGTTCCTACCATTTGATTTTTGTCCTGCAGGAGCTAGCCATGTATATTTTGTTTGGTATTATATCTTTCCTCTAACTGGTATTTCTTCATAACCAAAATTTCAACTGAGTAAATATCCAGTCTTTTATTTTTTGTGGAACACATGAGCTATCATAACAATTTTCCTTTTCAGCAAGAAAATGAAGGGGCATTTTTTCGCATTTACATATTGAACACCTAAACTTTACTTCTGACATTTATACCATCCAAATCTTTCACATCACATCAAAAATACCATTATTTAAACTTTTTAATTGTGAAATACTCATTTTCATGCATTGGTAAGGTGGCATATACCCAGAAAATGAATTTTAGGTGTTAGATATGTAAATACATAAGAATTCAATGGCATGTATGTAAATCTTCCCAAAAAAAGACAGAGAAGGAGGAAACTAAATTATACATAGACCCCTCAATTATAAAATGGTTTCCAGCAAACTCCCATACCTCTCCAAACTTCCAAGTAAACCATTCATTATATCATTGGTTGGCAAGTAAGCTTATTTTATGTCTTGCACTTAGAGGTTGCTTCAAGTTTGTGCCCGTTTCAAATGGGTCAGCCTCTTGAAAATTTTTGCCCCAAGTACAATATAATGAATGGTTGGGGTATATTCAAATTTAGGGTTATGCTGGGTCACTCGTGCCTTATGAAGGCCAACTCAGTGACACAACAGGCAGGCTGGGCTGATATAAATGTAAATAGTAAAAATAGTGGTATTTTTTATGTGATATAAATGATTTCGGTGATATAAATATAAAATGTTAAGGTTTTAGTAGATATATAAGAATTGTGTGGTATGTTAAAAGCCCTTTTATTATTCTCTAGTACTGAGGTGGCTATTAAAAATGTCACATTATGATACCTCCGTTAGCCATGCTGTTTAGTGGTCCAATATATGTCTGCTGCTACTTTTTGCTTATTTTAGGCTCTTACCTGCATTTCCCATTATTTTCATAGCAACCCGATATTAAATTATAGATGGTTGAAGAGATGAAATGTACAGTTCACATACCTATACTACTGCACTATGCATCTCCACAATTCATCAACGCATAAACTTGATTTGTGTTTTTCTCAAATTAATAGTGCTTCTATTTTAGTTCAGTTTAATGACTAAATAATGGTTATCTGGTCCTGTTTCGGGTAGTAAATTCACAACTTATTTGTTATTTGTGTTATCATATAATTGAATTTGATGTTTATTCTACTTCAATTTTTTCATAGGGGGGATGTTGTTCAAGTAGATACTTGGGTTAGTCCATCTGGTAAAAATGGGATGCGGCGCGATTGGCATGTCATTGATTGCCAAACTCGTGAAACTATCGTAAAAGCTACAAGGTTGGAGCCTTAACTTCTTTTATAGGTCCTTCTCTTTTAATTTTTGGATTTATGTAATTACCAATGGATTATCAACTATTATTGTAGCTCTCATTGGGTTATTTCTATTTGAAGAAGTGTCGAAATGGTTCCCACACTCTTTACATGTGGTTATTTTAGCCCCAGAGTTTACAAAAGTGTCAATTTTGTCCTAGAGCTGTTTAATATGGGTTGAAATAGCCTTTAGTAAGGATTATTTTAGCCCCAATTAGCATTTTTTTAAACTCTGAGACTAAAATGATCCCATGTAAATAGTTAGGGGACTATTTTGGCAGTTTACTCTTTGTATTTCTAATTTGAGAATCAAGGAATTCATGATTTCTTACTTTTTTTTTTTTAATCTAGTGTATGGGTATTGATGAATAAAACGACCAGAAAGCTGTCTAAAATGCCAGATGAAGTCAGGGCAGAAATAGGGCCCTATTTCCTGGAGCGTGCTGCTGTTTTAGATGAGGATAGCAGAAAGCTTCCGAAGCTCGATCATGATACCGCTCATTATGTTCGTAAAAACTTAACTGTGAGTTTGAGATCCCTGATCAGTGCTTTGTCCTGCTGGTTCAATTTCATCTGTTTCATGCATTTCTTAATGGTTTAGTGAAACTATATATTCTTGCGTATTATGGATTTGCAGCCTCGCTGGGGTGACCTGGATGTTAATCAACATGTGAACAACGTCAAGTACATTGGATGGATTCTTGAGGTATTTTTTTATCCTTTAATTTTATGTTCTGTGACATACATAATATGTTGATAAATACATGATTATTTTGCGATTTACTGAATAATTTAGCTTGGAGTTCCTAAGCTTTTCATTGCTTTAAACTGTTTAAACAAATAAAAGAGTTTTACCTCCTTTCTGTTTGTGACCTGTTACCTCACAATGATCAATAATGATTAAATATCTATGTGTTATGAGTTTAAGGACTGACATTGTTGAAGAGATTTTTTTTTGTAAAACTCATGAAAGATAAATTTAGGAATGTTTAATTTAGATAGATGTTAGAGGAATATCAATTAAAGATAAGATAAATGAAAACAGTTTTGTAAAATTCTTAACAAGAATGAACAGAAAAATGGGGCATTTACATAGCTACGTGTCAATCCTTATGTATTTACATATCTAAGACCCAAACATTCATATTTACATGCATATCATTCAAGTTTTTAACATCACATAAAAATACCACCAACACTTTTTAAAAGTGAAATACACCTTTTGATGCCTAGGTTTATGACACCAAATATCAAACTTTATACATAATAATTTTTTGGTATGTCCGTCAATTTCTCAAAAAAAAAATAGAGAATTTATAAAAATAACACTAAATAATTAGAATAAGGCTAATGATGATTATGTTGTTTGAAATTCTGGCATGACATCTTCTAGAATTTAAATAAAGTTGCCTTGCATCATCTCCTGCAACTGCAATGCATATTCTCGTTGTGAAAGGTGATTCTGGATATTCATTGACAAATGTGCATCCTGCTTTGATGAATTAATAATAATTTTAATAATGGAATGCACATCTCAATACAACTCTAAAGTACTCCAGATCTTTGTCTGTAGCTATTTCCTTGCCCCCCTTTTATAGTTGGCAGTGTCTGCTCACAGGGGCATAATGTTCCTTTTTGTCAATGTTTAATCACATTGACATATAATTTCTTGTCATCATAAATGTTGTGCAATTGAATTCTACATGTTTTGAATACCTTCCAGAGTGCTCCCACTTCCATCCTGGAGAGCCATGAGCTTGCAGGCATGACTTTGGAATACAGAAGAGAGTGCGGAAAGGACAATGTGCTTCAGTCTCTGACCTCTGTCTCAACCGAGTGCTCCGATGTGTCGCCACCAGATGCCGGCATGGAGTGCGTGCACCTTTTGCAGCTCGAGAGCGGCAATGAGATCATTAGAGGACGTACAAGGTGGAGGCCAAAACGATTGTAGGATTTCCGTGAGCGAACGATGCACCAAAACCAAGCTGAAGTTGATCTTCTGCTGCTAGGTCTCTTCCATCTACCTCTAATCATGGCAAGATTGGGAGTTGTTTGTGGAAAACTAGCAACTCTAACTGATATTTTCTCTGAAACTAAAAGGTGGAGAGAGTAGTATTATATATGTCATTCTTTGTTTGTACTTTTATCATTTTTTTTCCTTCTTCTTATTATTATTATTCTATGTCTCTCTATATCATCTCATAACTTGTGGTCTCATTCCTGAAGCCTTATGTATGTAATTAATCGTAATGTTGTTATATTGTTTATCCTTTTAATGGTTTTTACCTTTGCTGTTTAGGAGGCCTATAAAATATGATGTAAAATACTGGTTTTAAGTTAAGAAAGCATGGATGTTTATTAAAACTTTCACTAGTATATATTCATTAGCCATAACTTAATTCAGAAATTTATGGTATGTTTGGGACAGCTTTTTTTTTTTCTGCTTTTTTAATTCAAATTATCACCACACATCCATATGGATGTGATGGTGGTTTGGTATTTCTCATTGGGCCAGAAAAAAAAAAAAAAAATAATAATAATAATAATAGCCTTTTTATTAATTGTTTGTTGCCACACTTTTCTTTAATTGTTTTTTATTTTTTTATTTTTTAATTTTTTGAATCGGATTTCTTAATTCTTGTGGCTATAATAATACTCTTTTTCAAAAGAAAATATGTATAATCTTCATAATAATATGGGAAACTTTCATGGCTGATTTATGGCTGGCTGTCCTTTTAGGTTGGCACTTATTGACTGCTTCTTTTTTATTTCTCCTATTTTTTCGAACCATTTTGCTGTCGACTCTGGCATCTTCTGGCAGCCTCTTGTCGGCTACAGGGAGAGGTTTTGTTTTACTCCCTGGAAAGAGCTGGAGAGAGGTTTCCACATAATTGAAGGCTCCTGGAAAGAAAAACTTGTACCTATGGTGGTCTGTTTCAAACTTTTTGAACTCCCCAAATAAATTACACTTAGTGGCTCTTTGGTTGCAAGAAGATGTCATGTAGAATTTATACAGTATAACTTGAATGTTAGTGTGACTCTTGTTGCTATAATTCAAAGTACTTCTAAAGCAACTATAGAATAGGCTTTTTTTTATTATTAAATTCGTGACGGAGTTATCAAGTATTTCAAGTTTTAAGATTTAAGCCATATGACTCAAAGATTGATAATATAAACGGCAAGTTATCTAAAAACCCAGGTATGATTAATTTTTAGAATCGAAGGACAAGGAGTTAAAAATTAATTTTGGATTATATAAATCTTAGTATTACCTATCTTGAGTTTTACTG